AGAGATAGAAAGCGAGAAATCCCCCCCCGGGGGAGTTGGCCATGCCACAATTCCTTCTCTTCCAGTCTCCACCTGGGATTTTGGGCACACGCACATGTGCCCAGTGTGTTTCAAGCTGCCGGGTCCTGGATTCAAACCGCAGATGACCACATGGTAGTCCAGCGCCTTAACCACTACACCACCTGCTGGCCCCTGCCCCCTATCACCCAATTTTTTTAAAGCACAAAGCCAGACTTAAAAGAATGAGAAAACTGTGGTCAGCCATGTGGGAGTCCAGCGCCTTAACCACCATACCACCTGCTGACCCTGGCTTTCAATTTTAAAGAACATTCTAACTTGGAGAGAAAAAATGTGTAGGCTCTCTTAAAAGTAGTTTTCAGACTTTTGGTTTGACTTTTATCTCACATTTATCTTGAATTATAAATAAATTCTGCTAGTTCATGGCGTTATACTGCAATCTTTAAATTATGACTTTTTTCCTGTTAGTTATCATGTAAACATAGCAAACACATTCTAGTCAGTAAGTCAAAGAGTTGATTCATTATATGGTTTGTTTTTATTGAGTAAAATTCACATAACACTGCATTACCTATTTTTTAAATTTACATTTAGTCACCAGACATCTGTAGAACATATAAAATGATTTTTTCCCAGTGTGAAAACAGCACATATTAGTCAAGTTATAGCTATTACTGTGTACGTTTTCAGCAGTAGTTAACGTTTCGTTTTTGTTCAGTGGCATTTAGAGCATTCATAATGCTATCCAACCAGTCCTCTCTAGTTTCAAAAAGTGTACATCCATGTCTTGTTTCTGATCTTAGGGTGAAAGTTTTCTGTCTTTGGTCAATGAATATCATGTTAGGTGTGGGGTTTTGGCAAGTGTCCTTTGTCACATTAAGGGAGTTCCCTTCTATTCCACTAGCTGAGTACTTTTATCATGAAAGGGCTTTGAATTGTCTTAATTACTTTTTCTACATCTCTTGAGATGATCATGTGCTTCTTCCCCTTTGTTTGATTAATGCAACATATGACATGATTTTCTTATATTGAGTCACCCTTGCCTTCCTGAGATACATCTTATTTATAAGGGACATTGGTCTGTAATGATCTTTCTTGTGATATTGTTGCTAGTTTTGGTATCAGGGTAATGCTGGCCTCAGAATATGTTAGGAAGTGGGACCAGCAGTTAGCATAATGACTATGTCGCTGGACTCCCACATAGTCAACCGCGGTTCACGTCCCGGACCCGGTGACTTAAAACTCATGCCAGGTGCGCGTGCATGTGTGCCCAAGATCCCGAGAGGAGAATGGAGGAGAAGGGATTGCGGTGTGGCCATCCCCCCTGGGGGGGTGATTTCTCGCTTTCTGTCTCTCTGTCTCTCTCTGTCTGTCTGGCGAGTGCACGCGCCCTGTTGCAAAAACCTCTTAAAAAAAAAAAGAATATGTTAGGAAGTGCCTTTTCCATTTCAATTTTCAGAAGAGTAAGTACAATTGATGTTAATTCTTCCTTTTATTAAAAAAATTGCCATAGGGCACACACAAGAGAGGAGAGAGACAGAGAGAGACAGATCTGGGACTTGAACCATAGTTGGCCGTGTGGGAGTCCAGTGCCTTAACCACTATGCTACCTGCTGGCCACATTAATTCTTTAAATGCTTGGTAGAGTTCACCAGTGAAGCTATCTGGTCCAGGACATTTCTTTGTTGGGAAGTTTTTGTTTGCAGATTCTATCTTTACTTATAGATTTGTTGAGGTTGCCTCTCTTTTCTTGAACCAGTTTAGTAATTTGTGTGGTTTTAGGAATTTGTTTACTTCATCTATATACTCTAACTTGTTGGCTACAATTTAAAAAATATGATAGCATGTATAGAACCCATTTTTTCTTTTATACTTTCTTATTTACACTTAATTATATATCTTTATAGGGTACAATATAGTTGTTCAAAGCATGCATGTAATGTGTGATAATCAAGTTGAGGATAATACTGTATTCGTTATTTTCAACATAGAACATTCCACTATGTTATGCACTTCTGATTTTCCTTTTGTTGGGTTGTTGGAAAAATCATGACACACTTTTCTGTTTTTCTATGCAAAAATGCATCATGACTTTTCTGATGACCCAATATTTGTATGTGTGTATGTATATATGCATGTATACATGTGCATATATAAAAATTGTGTAAAAATTGGTAACATCCTGTTTTTTCCTGTGCTGTGGTGTACTTTTCCATAACCTATTTGCCTTGTTTACATGCGTTCAAGTATCTGTTAAATGTTTTTCCCTGAATCACCCACTCCAACCCCTTATCCCCTGTGCAGTCTCTGATATCTACAGTCACTTTTCTTGAAACCAATTTAAAAATATTGCCTCCTGATCTTAAAACTGGACATTTTCCTCCTCATAGAATAATATTCAAAATTATTGCCATGAATGAGTTAATATTATAGTAAGAAAAAATTTTAATTGCTCATTAAACTAATCTTTCTTTTCCCACTCACTCATTTATTCATTCATTCAACAATATTTATTGTGCCCCTGCTTGTTTATCAAAGCTTTTCAAACCTATCCAAGGTATAAAAAGGTCAAGTCAACAAATATTTTATCCCAGGTATTCTCAGCCAAGTCAATAACTATTTTTAGTACCTACAGTGTATTAGACATTTATCTAGTTATCAAGGAGATCTAACCTAGTTTGGGGGGTTTAGGGACATCTTATTTGAGATCTTACTGATGTATTTGTGTAAGCTAGTCTTAAAAAAAAAAAGAATATGTTAGGAAGTGCCTTTTCCATTTCAATTTTCAGAAGAGTAAGTACAATTGATGTTAATTCTTCCTTTTATTAAAAAAATTGCCATAGGGCACACACAAGAGAGGAGAGAGACAGAGAGAGACAGATCTGGGACTTGAACCATAGTTGGCCGTGTGGGAGTCCAGTGCCTTAACCACTATGCTACCTGCTGGCCCCATTAATTCTTTAAATGCTTGGTAGAGTTCACCAGTGAAGCTATCTGGTCCAGGACATTTCTTTGTTGGGAAGTTTTTGTTTGCAGATTCTATCTTTACTTATAGATTTGTTGAGGTTGCCTCTCTTTTCTTGAACCAGTTTAGTAATTTGTGTGGTTTTAGGAATTTGTTTACTTCATCTATATACTCTAACTTGTTGGCTACAATTTAAAAAATATGATAGCATGTATAGAACCCATTTTTTCTTTTATACTTTCTTATTTACACTTAATTATATATCTTTATAGGGTACAATATAGTTGTTCAAAGCATGCATGTAATGTGTGATAATCAAGTTGAGGATAATACTGTATTCGTTATTTTCAACATAGAACATTCCACTATGTTATGCACTTCTGATTTTCCTTTTGTTGGGTTGTTGGAAAAATCATGACACACTTTTCTGTTTTTCTATGCAAAAATGCATCATGACTTTTCTGATGACCCAATATTTGTATGTGTGTATGTATATATGCATGTATACATGTGCATATATAAAAATTGTGTAAAAATTGGTAACATCCTGTTTTTTCCTGTGCTGTGGTGTACTTTTCCATAACCTATTTGCCTTGTTTACATGCGTTCAAGTATCTGTTAAATGTTTTTCCCTGAATCACCCACTCCAACCCCTTATCCCCTGTGCAGTCTCTGATATCTACAGTCACTTTTCTTGAAACCAATTTAAAAATATTGCCTCCTGATCTTAAAACTGGACATTTTCCTCCTCATAGAATAATATTCAAAATTATTGCCATGAATGAGTTAATATTATAGTAAGAAAAAATTTTAATTGCTCATTAAACTAATCTTTCTTTTCCCACTCACTCATTTATTCATTCATTCAACAATATTTATTGTGCCCCTGCTTGTTTATCAAAGCTTTTCAAACCTATCCAAGGTATAAAAAGGTCAAGTCAACAAATATTTTATCCCAGGTATTCTCAGCCAAGTCAATAACTATTTTTAGTACCTACAGTGTATTAGACATTTATCTAGTTATCAAGGAGATCTAACCTAGTTTGGGGGGTTTAGGGACATCTTATTTGAGATCTTACTGATGTATTTGTGTAAGCTAGTTTGGAATATTGATGGCAAGGGAAGACAGCATTCCTGGTAGAAAATCACATTATTTGAAGGCCCAGAACTGAAAGGAAGAGTGGTATGTAAAGCACAGAGTGTGTATTGAGTTTGAAAAATGTTCATTATAGATAGAGTAGAAGAAAAGTTGAAGTGAGGGTTATGGTTGGAGAAATAGACAAGTATAAGATTGTGCAGGGCTTTCCAAGTCATGCTAAAGATTTTGTACTTTATCCTAAACTCAATGGGAGGCCACTGAAAAATTCAAAGTCTAATTTGCATTGTTAAAAGATTTCCCTGGTGGGACCAGCAGTTGGCGTAATGACTATGTCGCTGGACTCCCATGTAGTTGACTATGGTTTGAGTCCCGGATCCAGTGGCTTAAACTCATGCCAGGCACGTGTGCATCCATGCCCAAGATCCCATGAGAAGAATGGAGGAGAAGGGATTGTAGTGTGGCCATCCCTCCTGGGGGGTGATTTCTCGCTTTCTGTCTGTCTCTCTGTCTCTCTGACGAGCATACGCACCCTAT